TTTTTGAGATTTCTATAATAAATGGGTGTCAAATGCTTTTACTTTATGTGATTTTCCTTATTTAGCTGTGGATGTGGTAGGTTACACTGAACTAGCTTTGTAATCCATAATAAATTATACTTGGTCATGTTATATAATTCATTTCATACATTGTTGAAGTCAACTGCCAATAATTTGTTAAGAACTTTTGAGTCTATGTTTGTGAGAGATACTAGTCTGTAGTCTTTTACTATTGTTGTTGCTTGTTTGCTTTTGGGGGGGTTTGTTTTTTGTTTTTTTGTTTTGGTGATTTGGATTAAACCCATGGCCTCACACATACTAGGCAAATGCTCTACCATTAAGATATATCCCTAGCCCCTCTCATTTCTATTTCTTGAAAAAGACCGTGTAAAATAGTTTTTAAAATGTTTGGCAAAAATCTCTTAGATTATCTTGATCTGGAGATTTCTTTGTGGGAGCTTTTAAATCATGGATTCAATTTCTATAATAGTTATAAACTATTCAGTTATATATTTCATCTTGGTTGAGTCTTGAGCTAATCACTTTTGGTTGCTAATTCAGGTGTCAGTGTTTCCCATATTTTCTCAAATGACTAAAGCAACATTTACAAAAAAGCAATTGACTTTAGTCTGGTGCTCTGACATCACATACACAAAAATCTATAGGCAATTTATAGGCAAAAACTTCTGCAATAGCAGAGAGGTAGAATTTATTAGACTGTAAAAAAATGAAAAGAAAAGGCAGAGAATATGTGAGAAGAGCATCCAGCAGGTGATATGTGAGAAAGCTGTGTTGATCAATGGTAAGGAAGCTGTTATTGATGGCTACTGTTGTGCAACACCAAACTGAAGTTGGGTTTAATTTTACATGGGTAAGCCTAGTGTAGGAATGCAGCAAAATTTTAGATGGTTAAGCCTGGTATTAAAATGCTGAAGGGATCAAACGTGTATATTGCCATTGTCCCTCAAATAGATAAATTGCAAAGGGAGGTGACTAAGGTCAACAAACATTTTGTCTACTATTTTTGGAAGGCATTCAGAGTATTTGGGACACTTCAGTTCACAACAATGAAGCCAGCAGACCAGACAGATAGGATATTCTTGAGCTTGTCCAGTTCAAGAGTGTGTGAAACCAGATTAATAGTGCATACTTTTAATCTAAGACAGTTACAGCAAAGTCACATTCCATTATTTAAAAAAAACCCTACTTTATAATCTCAGTAAAAGGCAAAGCATTCCAACCCCACCCCACCCACCAAATCTAGCAGATGCAATACCAGTCAAATTCTATTATTCCCATATTGAAGTACTATATAATTCTTGAATTGTTCCAGAATTTTATAGTATTAAATATATGTGAAGTAAATAGGTTCTAGATCTCTATTTGGGAATCTTTCTCAGTAGTATTTTTATATATATTATTAAGTAATTATAGTACAAAATGTAAGAATAAGAAGAACATCTTTCAGATCACTTTTGTGTGCACACATACACATGTAATTCCTTGAAAATGAAGTCAGTTTTGTAACTTAAGTCACTTCTAACCTAACTCAGGAAACTCATTCTCCAATACAAGGACAAAGCTACTACTAAGAAAGACAATAGTTTACGAAACAAAGCTAGCAAGCTCTATAGAGACAATCTGACCAAAATTGAGAACAAGTACTGAATTTCAAGCATGCTGAGGTATGCAGATGACACAGAGTGAATTAAGATACTGCCATTGCTTATTTCTAGAAGGAAAGCATTAGAAAATCTCTAAACCACTTCTTATTCTTCTGTAAAATGGAAAAAGATCACCAAATAAATCCTGTTCTATGAAGGTCACCAATCCTTGAACTCTAGACATTGGAAGTTAGAAGGTTGCAAAATATTATTTAATCCAATATCCACATCTTTTAGATAAAGAGAAACGCAGAAAAAAGAAAGAATTTACTTAAGATCACAGTTGAGACTACAACTCAAATTTCCTAATTTCTAACCAAGTGTTCTTTATATATATTGCCTATCTTAGAGTCCAACGGATTTTTCTCATTCCTGGTTCTTCCCATAGTTTGGCGATACCTAATCATTCAATTAGGTTGGGATGAATAGAACTCAGGTGCTATTCTTCTCCCTTTCCTCTCTCATCTTCTCAACTTCATAGTTTTAATTTAACAGATAATTTAAAAAACTATTAAGGACTTAATTCAGCATAGGCAGTGAGAAAATTACCAAATCAAGTAAGGCATGCTTCCTACCTCGGAGGAATTATAAGTATAAACATTGAGTATGGTATTCTTGACACCAAAGTTGTATGTACAAAATTTGTCACCATCATCCAATCAAATTTTCTGATGGAAATCTCCTTTTTTAGTTGACTCCTTAATTTCCACAGTCATTTTTGTTACTCTGACAGGAAAGTGAATGAATATCTGGTTTCTTTACCCTTGTTCTCCTATTAACCAATTAATTCTGGAACTCTGGTAAGTCATATCTCTTCGGGCTTTATCTCCTCAATTTGCAAAATAACCTTCTGTTATTCACCTTTCTTCCTTTCTTGTTTTTTTTTTTTTTTTGTGCATTTTTAAAACTTAGTGCTTTACATGAGAAGAAGATTAACATTTAACAGGGATGAGAGGTGGGAGGGAAAGGGAGAGAGAAGGGAAATTGCTTGGAAATGGAAGGAGACCCTCAGGGTTATACAGTGGAGGGGGTAGAGAGAGAGGAGGGGAGGGGAGGGGAGAGGTGGGGAGGGGGGAGGGTGGAGGATGGGAAAGGCAGCGGAGCACAACAGACACTAGTATGGCAATATGTAAATCAATGGATGTGTAACTGATGTGATTCTGCAATCTGTGTATGGGGTGAAGGTGGGAGTTCATAACCCACTTGAATCAAAGTGTGGAATATGATATGTCAAGAAATTTGTAATGTTTTGAACAACCAACAATAAAAAATTAAAAAAAAAACTTAGTGCTTTATAGTTATTCATAGTAATTGGGTTCATCCCAACAAATTCATCAAACATGCATAAAATTCGACTTCAGTTCATGATCCCCCTGCTTTTCCTTTCTCTTCCTGTCCTCCTCTTCCTTTCTTTTCAAATTTAGTCAAATTCAAGGTATTGGGTATAATCAATTTATTTCTTTTTTCATATTTCTCTGGTTTCTCTCTCCTCCTTCATGTTCATAATAGAAAAGTCTTCATTCCTGGATTATTAACAGCCTTCGAGGTTAGGTATAGCTATAACTTGTTGGAAGCAAATTTAAACACAATTTAGTCTCAGGTTATATAGATCAGACTGGAGGCTAGAAAGTTAATTAGGGAATCAATTAGAATAAAGATCAATCTTAAACTAAAAACCTGTCATTCAATTCCTTGCTAAAACTGGCTTCCATTGGCCTTTCTGATTTATTTTGAGTGACACCTTGTTTTTAGTCCATTTGGGCTGCTGTAATGAAATATCATTAAGTAGGCAGATTCTGAACAATGGACATTTATTTGTCACAGAAGAGGCTAGAAATCCAAGATCACGGTGGTCCATGGCTAGGTCCCAGAGACCTAATCACACCTCACATCCTCAACATCTTCTGCCATCACAATGTGATTGGGTCTTAACATGCGAATTTGGGGTGGACACAAACATTCAGACCACAGCACTTCTCAACTCATAGCCTTTCCTACCACGCCTTCATGTTAAATGTTATCCTTCCTATCCTTGTTGCGAAAGACTTTTTACCCTTTTGTGTAAACTTTATTCTACTAGGTTTTTGTTATTGTCACTTTTTGGTTTTGGGTACTGAGGATTGAACCCCCAGGGGTTCTATACCACTGAGCTACACCCCAGCCCTTTTTATTTTTTTGAGACAAGGTATCTCTAAGTTACTGAGGCTGGCCTTGAACTTGCAATCCTCATGCCTCAGCCTCCTAAGTCTCTGAGATTACAGGCAGGTACCACCACTCCTGGTTATTCTAATAGTTCTTTAAAGGCCATTTTCTTCCATGGAGTCAGTAATCTCTTCTTTCTTCTAATTCTTACACAAAATATTTAAAATACAAACAATAATTTCCTTTCCTAATTCCCTTTTATGAATACTGCAAATGTGAAAGAGATGATATGCAAAAACTCTTGACCAACATTAATGGAAGAATACAGTCCTTATACTCTTACAATTCTATAAAACAGTAAAATAATTTATAATATAAATTTATATTATAAATAATTTTACTATTTGCTCCTAATTTTTTTGCAAATTAAAATAATCAGATGATTGATAATCTTTTATAGAGAATTAATATATATTCCAAATTGTGTTAGAATATTTAATAAGAATATTAAAATAGATTTTCTTGGTTGTAGGCAACTTCTGATACATGATATCTGGACAAAAGTTTGTGACACATTAATGTTACTGACTAATATGTCTAATTTAGGCAGATACCAAAGAAGCATTGAGCAATATTATGCAAAAGCTTGTAACTTGCAGTATTAATAGATAGGCTCTGAGAACTCTATATTTCAGTCATGAAACTGCAATCAGATCAAATGATTATCAATGTTAACATTAATGAAAGTAGAAAATCCATTTGGGTAGAAACTTAAAATGTTATTTTCTGCCTTTCAGATTCGCTTGTTGCTGCTTGAACTCCAATTTGAATCCTTCTTCAGAAGCAGGCCACGATTAGAGGAATAAAAGGGTTTCATGTGGCAGGAGTAAAGTAGCACTGTCACATCCCATCAATCTTCTAAGTACCAACTCTCATACACCCATCACTGCCCTGTTTCACACCAGCTCCAACAGAGATTTTCCCAAGAAATAAGTTTCAAGCTATTTTAGTTCCCATCACTACTGTCCATTTGTCATAACTGAAAAAAAATATCCATTATATTGCAAAAAGATTCTGTTATCCAGTATTTGCTAATTATGATTGAGACCAGAAACATATAAAGTTTCAAAGAAAACAATTGAAGGGAACATCTGAAAATAATTTCCCCCTATCCTTTGTTGTTCTGCTACTCACGGCAAATCTTCCAATCTGGAGGCTTCATGTCTTGGATCCAATAGATCATAACCACATTCATTGTAGATTTCCAAGTAGGAAATGTGTGTTGTATATATTTTGCTGCTGTCCTGATTGAAAAAGAGTAAGACATGATTTAATGACTACAAATAACAATTCATTTTAGAGAAAGACGAACACATTTGTCAATGTAGTTTCCTCACAGTTTCTCCCCCATTCTCACTCACTCTATGTGGTTTACATTTTCAGTTCGTGACACTTTCAAGTTGCCAGTTCCCATATGCATGGAACTTTTTTCTTTCTTTTCTTTTCTTTTTTTTTTTTAATGGTCAACTCCCATGATTACAAGTAACTTCAGTCTGTTATTTTTTATTGGTTCCACGTTATACATAAAAAGTCGATGTATACATACAATGAGCCAATTTGGTTGCAGAACTATATAACACACCATTTTTTACTTTCTAAACCAAAAAAAAAGTTACTAAGAAAATACACACTTATGTTCTATGAATAGTCAATTCATAAAAAAGCACAGATCATTTCTTTGGTTCAAAAACTTCAGTAACAAAACAGTTTCCATCTTTAATAATAATTCTTCTTTTCCACTTTTGTAATATTTGAAAACTTTTCTGGTGACATAAATAGATAAAAATGAAATTAAGTCCCCAGGACAGAAGATAGCTTAGATCAGTCAGGTAAGAGAGGACACTAACAATTCATACCTTGCTTGTTGGGTTAATTCTCCTGGCTCAAGTGGGCAAATCAGGGATATTCGTTTATGGGTTAGAGAAAGGTGGCTTCTGTGGCCATTACTAAAATGTAATGATGTAGTTATCAATGCAATTAAGCTAAAAGTTAAGATAACAAGTCCTAGTCTCAGTTCTACTAACAGAAAAAAAGGACCCATTCCTTCTGAGGTGGAATATAGCAGGAATATTTTTTAGCTCTTGAGGGAATTCCAAGTTCAGTTTTCCATACGAAATATCAAAATGAGAGTACCTCCTTTTTGTTCCTTCAAAAACACAAATGCTTCTATTTCTGCAAATATTATTATGTTTTTAATAAAGGGAGAATATATTTGAATCTTGTGGCAAGAAAACTGTCATAGTGGACAGTAAGAGGATTTGCCTCAGATGACATTCCTGATTCTCAACCGTATACAAGAACAATCCATTTACTAGCTGTTGCTCAAAGGGAGACAGAACAAGTCACAGAGACTAGGGAGGGAACAGTGGCCTGTAAATCCAAAGCTGAAATCCCAGTCCCACCAGCTATGAAATTCTACCATTATCGGACCTTGGTTTTCACACACATGAAAGTGAGGAAGTGGATGATGAATCCCTATATATTCTGTAGTTTAAAATTAGTATGACTCATTGGTCCTAAAATGGCTCACACTATACCAATAAAGATATACCATCTGATATAAACAAAATGACACAAAAAATTTCAACCAACACATGAATAACTTTCAACCAATACATGAATATTATAAAAATACTCAAGCTACAGCTAAAATTCCATGTTCTGGTGTTCTGTGAAGGTGGCAACTTGGATTGAATTCCTATTAAACAAATTTCTCTCAACTAAGTTCTGGAATCCTGCTGATGTGACTTCAATGCTTATCCTAACAAACGGCCTGTTGATTACATTAGTATCCTGTGTTAGCGAAGGCACCATTTCAACATAATTGTTTGCAGCGTAGCGTGGTTTAGTACAGGTCTCAGAGACTATAAACCTGAGACAGATTATAAGGCTGCTAGTCTAATTCAGTGTTTCCCAAAACAATCCATGAAATACTCCTGGAAAAAAGTGTACCATGGTCAACATAAATACTCTGCTCCTCCCTGGAGGATTATCAGAGCATGTTAAAGGCCCTAGAGATCCTTCAGCCATGTTGTGAGATCCTGTTCTAAAATTTTTCTGAATATAGATGAAATGTACCAGAGATTATGGTTTGAGATCTTAGCATACAGTTCTGAGCTTTTAGCATCAGACAGAACTGGGTTTGAATACTGTATCTACTAGTTATAACTGAGTGATACTTGATTATTTCACCATGATAATTAATCAGTGAATAACAGCTCTGATCTTGCAGAACTGTTGTGATGGAGAAATAAGGCTATATACTTAAAATCCTACCAAAAAATCCTTAACCATCACAGGAACCAATGGACCATTGTTACTGCAGATATTATCATTGTCACTTATTTTGTTTTATTTTTGGTACTGGGGATTGATTCCAGGGGTTCTCTACCACTGAGCTATACCTCCAGGCCTTTCCAATTTTATTTTTGAGACAGAGTCTAAGATGTTGAAGCTGGCCTTGAACCTGCAATCCTCCTGCCTCAGCCTCCTGAGTATCTGGGATTACAGGTGTATGCTACTACATCCAGCTTATCATGGATACTACTTTAAATTATTATGTCCAGAAGCCTCCAAATGAAGAATTCAGTATGTGAATATAAAAGGAATGGAAAAGAAATGCAAAGAGAATAATTTATATGTTCATTTTCAGTGAAGAAATTCTCTTCTTCCAGAGAGTTGAATAAATCATAAAAGTCAGGAAAATGGCAGGTCTACTGCTCTGAGATGATAGGGATAATGGCTTTGGCTCCTCCAGCTTCTGCATTTTCTGAACTTTTATTGGAATACACACTAAAAATTCATTGAGCTTTGTGGCAAGCTACCTTTCCTTATTACTTCTTTTTAGTGTCTAGGTTGCCAGACTGTAATATAACACACATGTGTCCCACAGACAGCCTCGTCTCCAGCCCCCAAACAAGTTTGAAACTCACAATGCTCAAAAATAATGAGCAGCGATTTCTAAAATAAATGGAATCAATTTTCTTCTCTAATCAGTGAAAATGGGACTGGGGATATAGCTCAGTTGGTAGAGTGCTTGCCTCGTATGCACAAGGCCCTGGATTCAGTCCCCAGCACCACACCAAAAAGAAAAAAAAAATCAGTGAGAATCAGTGTTCTTATCACTCTCACAGGTACTTCAGGACCCAGTATACCCTGGACTCCTAGTTTATCTTGAAATAAAGACTTTGCATAAGTCAAATGTTCCTTTAAGAATTCTAGAGAGGCCTGGGGCTACAGCTCAGTGGTAGAGCACTTGCCTAGGACATGTGAGACACTGGGTCCAATCCTAAGCACCACATAAAAATAAATAAAGTATTGTGTCCATCTACAATTAAAAAAAAATTCTAGACAGTTCCATTGGCCCTCTAAAGGCAATTAGCTGAAGACCTCTGAGTACCAGTCCACATTCCTCAGCCACATAAAGTAGACAAACTTCATGATACACTTTAAGTTGCCTGACTAATTTCACCACAGTCCAGTGTGACTTTAAATGGATGTGCTGTTCCCCATCGTGGAAATCTGGCCATTTCCAAAGAGTTGCCCTGGCTATAAATTGGTCTGATAGGCTTTCTCCAAGTCCAGGAAGTCATTTAGGATCATTCAGAATAAAATGAGGTTTAGAGCCATGCCAATGACAAACAGATCTAAAACAGTGAACCTAACAGATGTTGAGTACTTGGGAGACATTTAGATTTTAGAACTGTATTTCAGTAACCAAAGATGAAATTTTAAAGAAGTTGAAAAATATTTTCCATTAGTAGAGGGTTTGTTTATTCTGTTTAATTTAATCAGGGAAATTGGCTTCATTTGTTTTGAGTTTCAAAGGGTTCTCTGAAATTGGTCAGGGATCGTTCAGCCACATCCACTAACATGAATATTAATGGCTGTGCTAATATATAATAATTATCATGTACTGAGCATATACTGTGTGCTAGGAACTGGACAATATCTTAAATACCATCTGTCTAGCCCTCACAGCCACTCCATATAATGGGGACCTTAAGCTACATGCTGTCAGAAGTGCACTTTCTCAGAACCAGGCCAGCCGGCTCCAACACCAGTGATCTTTCCAAGACAACAGGCTTCCCGATTAGGCCACAGCAACAAAAACTATTAGAAACTACATTCCCAGTTTGTGAAATCTGGGAACAAAACAAAATTGTTAATGTCAGAAATAAATGAGTAAATGAAAAATGGGAGTTCATGACCCACTTGAGTCAAATGTATGAAAGATGATATATCATGAGCTTTGTAATGTTTTGAACAATCAATAAAAAAAAAAAGAAAGAAATGAGTAAATGAAAAGAAGGACCTCAAATCCGGCACACACGCTATGCTCAACTCTCTCTTCCACGTTTTCTGGCGTGCAGAGTTGGCATGCTTGAGCTAGTAAGAGATGAGCTGAACTAATGGATAATTGCTACTTTATGGCTGGCAATTAGAATTATGCAGATCTCAGCAATTTCTTCACATCTTTGTAATTCAAAATGCAAATAACATACAGTAGAGAAATTTTGGAGTGACTGTTACATTGACCTACTTAGGACATTTACTATACAGAATTAATACAACCAAAGAACTGGGGAACTAGAAGGGATGCTGAGGACTCTCTAGTACAATTCAATCCCTACTTCAGAGTGGAGAAAATTAAACCCATAGAACCTAAATAACTCATTATAGGGAATTTGCTTAAATATGACCAATAAAATAAAGCCAGTCTGAGCCACAGAGGAGTGTATGTAGTGGCAAAAAGCACAGAATATGGTAAGATAGACCTGAGATGAGCTCCAGCTCAACTCTTCCTAAGATGTGGACCCAGAGAAAAATATTTAAACAGAGGCTCAGTTTTTCCCATAAGAAGGGGATAAAGATACTTACTTTGTTAGTTGTACTATATGTTGTATTAAATAATGATAAAATATAAGGCACTTGGAGGAACTCAATAAATGACATAATAAAGACAGGGATGCTGGGCACAGTGGTGCACACCTGTAATCCCAGTGGCTCAGGCAAGAGGATCACGAGTTCAAACCCAGCTTCAGCAATGGCGAGGAGCTAAGAATTCAGTAAGACCCTGTCTCTAAATAAAATATAAAATGTGACTCAGAGGTTGAGTGCCCCTGAGTTCAATCTCTGGAGAAGGAAGGAAGGAGGGAGGGAGGCAGGGGAAAGGGAGGGAGACAGGGAACACTCTTTATAAAACTAATGTTCATTGCAATGGAATTTGTACTCTGGTATACTACTTTGGCTTCTTTCTGGGAAAAAGTAAGAACTATACTATCCTATTTAGTGCTTTAGTAGCTAGAAGAAAGGTCTGCTTGGTTAAAAGACTATTTCTCAGTTTCTTTCATTTTTTTTTTCTGGTACCAGGGATTGAACCCAGGGGCACTGAAACACTTGAGCCACATCCTCAGACCTTTTTATATTTTATTTTGAGACAGAGTCTTGCTTGGGGCCTCACTAAATTGCTGAGGCTGACTTGGAACTTGTGATCCTCCTGCCTCAGCTTCCCAAGCGCTGGGATTACAGACGTGCACCACTATGCCTCGGTTTCTTAACGTGGAATATAAGATTTTAATTGGTAAGATGTATTATTTGCTCTTTTAAGCTCTGTGACTATAGCAGAAAGAACTCCCTTTGCTCAGGTGGCAGCACTTTAATGAGAAGGACATTCTTAATTTTTACTTATCCAGAAAAATCTTAACCTTGCTTCAATTGTAAAGGTTGGAGCTATTACACAAAAATATTTTCTCATTTTGATATAATATAATATCACAATAATTTTTCTGTGCACAGTAAATTTCTGCTGAATCTATCAAATACAAAATGAACTTAGTTTTATACCTTTTGTAACTGCTCAAAAATGTATGACAGCGTCCTTGGGATAATGCCTCTGTCACTGTAACGCTCAGCCCCACCTGTGATAGTGAATGTCTTGCCACTGCCCGTTTGTCCATATGCAAAGATGGTACCGTTGTAACCTGCCAGCACACTGCAATGAAGAAACGGCACACTTTTAATACCAAAATGACTACCTGCATTTGTATTAGATGACTTGAATTCTAATAGCAACCTTATTAGATTCTATGGAAAAGATATTTATAGAAATACCTGCAGAAATATTTAATTATGTGACTATGTATTACATTTTAATCCATCAATATCAGCACATTGATCCTTTTCTCTAAGAAAGAACATGTGGCCCCATAGAGTCCAGTTATCTTAAAATATTGTCTTTGTATTTTAGTATGCTAGACTTGAATCAAAGAATATGTTGAAAAAAATATCCTGGGGAAATAACACCTGTAATTTGGCCCACTGTCCACCCGATGCCTGCTCCCTCACCTGGTCACTTCCTAGGATACTAGAATACACACAGGTTACTACTATGTACCTTGTAATGTGATTCCCTACTTAACTCTCATCACCAACTGAAAATCCTCTAGGAATGTCCCTCCTCTCCTTTCTTGGAATGACTCTTTTTTTAAGAAGATGCTGGTCCATGTGTGTTCTTCAGCCCTGCAAAAAAGCCCTTGATTTGATGGAGGTCTCAAGAGCCCTGGATCATCTCAGCCTCTGCAGACCACTACCTATAACAAGACACTTCGAACAGTGTGCATGACATGCTTCGGGCTTTCAAAAGTGGGTCTTTTTCTAGGCTACATGGAACAGTAAACTCTTGCAGCTTTACTTCCTTTTATTTATTTATTTTTTGTTATATGTGGCTCCTTGATCTCAAGATTTTTTCATCAATCTAGCTATGATGCTGTCGGCTAATGTCACCCACATTGTGAGTGGTTGTTTTTCAATAGATGACTCCTCTGCGATCACTCCTCATGGTTCACGTTGGGATTCCTGCTCTGCTGCTGAGATCCTGTTCACAGTTCTTTCTAGGCCTCTTTATACCTCGGCTGCATGCCGAGCGACCAGTCATCACAATTCCCCTTCAAAACACACAGGTGTTGCCTAAAACTTTTTATGAAGCGGTTAGATAGGTTCATAGCATCTTATGCAACTAACCACCTAACAATATGGTTAACAAATTAATACATCTTTTGTTCTGTAAGCAGGTGATATTGATGCTTACAAATTGAAAGGACTCAGGGAGGGAGAAAAGAGATATTACTATTATGTGGTTCACCTTTCTACTTTTGAGAAACTTAATCATTTTTTTGCATGTGTCTTCACAGGAAGACAGTAGACTGTTGAAATTTTAAGCTTGTAAGGTGTTGGAATTACCGTAATGCATTTAGGTGGATGATTATAGAATCTTTCTCTTCAACAGAATCTATCACCAATGAAACAGAAATGTCCCATTATCAAATCTCATTTGGATATATGGTATTTCTTGGCCATAAATGCTCTGTGTAAATGAAGTCTATAACTTTTAGTATCAGACCTAAAATGTTTTATTGATCTGGATATAAGAATTTCTAAAATATATTAGGCATTATCTATCTTGAAAAGTAATGAATACTGAGTAAAAACTAACACTTTCATTCTGACACAGATATCGCCTTTGGAAAGTGAGTACTACAGCATGCTCCACTGGTACTTGCTGATTGTTATGTCTACTTTTTTAATACTTACATCTTCTTTCTCACTATCAACTGTTCCTGCCTACCTGTCTCTAATATATGTTCTCCCTAACCTCATCTGCTGTGGGATGGAAAATTACATGGCACAGTTTCACAGGACACTGTATGAAATTAAAAGGATGTAGGTTCTACCTTTAGATACTCCCATGCACATTTATTACATTGTTACAATATGAAATTAAATAAAGAAATGACAACAGGCAAAGTTTATTTCTAGTTCCTTTATCTAGAGGTCCTGCATCCCAACTCCATCTTTGGATTGAGTGTCCATTCTTTACTGGGCCCCAGGTGTTTATATCTTCTTCTAGTCTCATCTGTCTTAGAGAAAAAAATAAAGAAATAGAAATGGTGGTGTAAGAACCTTTGACAATCTGTTCCTTCACAAGAATAATCATAGCAGTGGAAAAAATGGTCAAAATTGACTTTCTCAGAACAGAACCCTGGAAATTATCCAAAGGTACACAATAATCCAAGGAATGTTTATTTAAGAAAAACAGCTGAAACTCAGTAGAACAGCAGGCTCCACAGTTTTAGCTTGAAAATCCTCAGCCCTCTTTCCGCAGCTCCATGGTAGCCTTGAAAAACTACAGCCTCAAAGCCACAGGGGCTGTGAAAACCAGCAGCCTAAATATCACTTCAGGGAGCAGGACAGGTTTGGAACTCCTCAAAACCCTATCCCCAAAGAACTCTTTTAAGCTCTGTGACTGTAGCAGGAAAAGAGGCATGAGACAGGAACTATTGATGAAAACCCATAATAGGTGTAGATACAACATTACAGAATTCTATAATGCTATTCAAAGGAATAAACAAGTTTAATAAAGTTGCAAGATACAAGATCAATTTACAAAAGTCAAGTGTATTTCTACACAACATCAATGACCAATCTGAAAATAAAATTCAAATATAAATTTTAGGAGAAGCTCATCTCTGACCTTTCTCACAGCTCCATGAAAAAGCTTCTTTTACAGTATAAAACTTGTCTGTGATCTGACTCAGAGCTACTCAGGATGAGCAACTCTATCGCCAGGGTATTTGTTGAGAACAATCCATGGAAAATATCTAACATCGAAGCTGCCTAAGGCTACAATACCAGCAAGGTCAACAAGAAGGTGACCAAACATTTAAAAGAAAAATCTGTGAAATAAAACATCTGTAAGGTGCTTTGAAAAGCTCTGACATGTTGCTTGGGACTTTAGAGGCCACACACACACACACACACAACACACACGTTCAGGACTATGGGCATGCCCAGAACATACTTGAGAAAGTCCCTGAGACTCTGCACATGCTGGAAGTAAAGGGTAAGGCAGAGATACAGACTGATGGCTCAAGGCATTTAAAGAAATCTCTGTTCAATCATTAACTCACCACTAAAGTAATTGTATATAGATTTCAGAAGCTGCACATGGCAAACATAGAGGTAAATAAGGTGATCAAAAACTTAAAAGAAAATAATACATGGAATAAGATGGCTATGAGGGGCTTTGAAAATCACTGACATAT